CTCTCTCTCTCTCTCTCTCTCTCTCACACACACACACACACACACACAGACACACAAAATAATTATTCATCTGTACCATGGCGACTGTCGGAGTCCCAAGACATTTCTCCAGGATTGCAGGGGTGTTGCAATAAAGAGGTTGGTTGCATTAGGTCAACCGGCCATGCCGTACGGCAGTCAATATGGCCTGCCATAGTGGGTCCTCTGTTGCACGCTTGAGGTGCATGACTTGTGAATTACTGAGGTATGAAATATCATGTGAAAGGAGTGTTTGCCTACAACGACACGTGTGTGTGTGTGTGTGTGTGTGTGTGTGTGTGTCTGTTGTCATGTTCGCTGTACACAACTCCATGAAAAGAGCATGACTGCGCCAAACCGTTTCATCGTATTTTCACTGACTCATGCATGCATATGTGTGTGTGTGTGTGTGCGTGTACACTTTAACATATGCGGTGCTCTTGGTGGCTATATGTGTGCTCATGTCCTGTATTGTTTGTCAGTTGGTTAGCAAGCAGTGCATGTTCTTTAACAACGTCTCTTTGCATGTTTTCTGTGGGGAAGCGGATGCTGGTCTTCGTTTTTCCAAGAATCCTTGTCTGTGATTGATTGCCTTGTCTGTGAATGATTGCCAGCTGCGTATGCTTCCGTCGGAAGCATCTAGTCCTATTTCACTTGTTTCCTCACTGTTAGGCGTCTCCGCAGAAATGATCGACCTATCATTTGTGCCATCCTGCTGGGCAGCAATAAAATGTGGAACGTCCTGATTTATATTCGACGTTATCATCACGCTATTACCCTGGTGGATTTCATCCATAAGGTCCTGTCAGTACCCAGTACCCAGCGTGAGCTTTCAGGTAGGGGGGTTGTTTTGTTTACAAGTTTAAACTGAATTCTACTATGATCTTTTTTTTTTTTTTCCTTTTTCCTCTTTGCTTTATCTGATTGGTACTAGATTCCACCTTGGCTCTGTACTTCACAGCAGTTCATGTGTGTCCCAACTGAGCTAGTCCCACTGGTACTCGAATCCTTTTGGTATGTCAGGTGGTGTGTAACGAACTTGCAGTGCCAATCAACTGCTGTATAGCTTGCCGGCTCGCCGGTCGTCCTCTTGACGTGTGAACTGGTCCAGTCATCCGACAAATGATTAAGAACTGTGTGGTGGGGACCACGCACGGCATACTCGTATATGATAATATGACTTTTCAAAGTTTTTCACTTGTTTGAAGTTGTTTCGGGACGTAATTGCAGATGGAGAAAAAGAGGTCAGGCCGGAAATGCAGTGGGATACGATCAAGAGAGTTCTACTGCGTCCTTGAGGACATCTGTGAAAATCGGAACGATACAGAGAAGGGTACCATGAGGATTAGCATGGCCCCTGCGCAAGGATGGGGCACATATATCGAGAGGGTCCAAATTCTATAATAAAGAAAGCAAAGATAGTTCTACTGCGACTCCATGAGTACAGCTTTAAACTGACTTTGGAAGTTGGGTGGGACCCACTTTGGAAGTTGGGTGGGACCCACTTCGGAAGTTGGGTGGGACCTCGCTATTTTCTGCAAGGCTGGGGCTATGTACACGGGCGGTTCAAACTTTTTCTTTTTATGTTCAGATGCCATGCGAATTTGTTTTGCTATAACCCTGCATCGGTGACATCAGGGTGCTAACTTTTTACTTTTTTTTTTTCTTCCTTTTTTTTTTTTTTTTGAGGGACCACCTTGCCTTGTTAACTGAACAGAGGTATATCTTTCACAATTGTGCAACTGAAAATACCAGCAAAACGTTTCGCATGCACAAAAAGACTGTATCACACTGTTACAGCGATTTTTTTTAAATGGACATTTTAGTATGAAAACAAAAATGGAACCTAGTTACTTGGCCCGGAAAAATGTCACCATGTTTTGCTCCTGAGGGACCGCCGTACTCGATGGATGTTTGTAAACTTGTCGGACTCCAGATACATCCAAGGGATCACAGTGTTTTCAGAATGCCGGACGGATCAGAGGAGCTAAAAAGGTTTATCTGGATTTTCTGGATACATTCTGGATAATAAAAAATAAAATAGTAGTTTTCTTGTTTTTATTGTTTTATCTTCAGATCGGGGGGGCATTTTGAAACGACCTCCACCCAAAAGTTGTTGGCATTGTTATGATCTACAACAGAGTTGTTGTTGGTATTGTTATAATCTAGTATCTACAACATACTTTTTTTTTTATAGATTTTTTGGATCAAGTTTTTTTTTTTTTCTATACAAGTCACCCCTTTATATACTTCATCATGTTTCATCTGGGTAGTATAATCTTCTCTGCAAACCCGGATAAGTCAAGGATGACCGGATGTCTTTTGCTACTTAGGGAACAAGTAGCAATTTTTGTTTAGAAAATATAAAATCGTATTAAACCACCAGTACGTCCCCCAGCCACGAAGTCTGACCCTCCTCTGCTACCAGTATTCTGAGACTAGAGCTACTGGTAGCGGGCCTTTTTTTTTTCTTTTCTTTTTTTTAATCCCCCCTCCAGTGATAGTGGTGCTGGTAAGAGCAGACACCACTAGCACCTGAGGAGAGGCACCATCTATTGGTGGGGAGCAGCACCTGCTGGAAAACGGGTTCAGCGGCCCATATACAGAAGATATTTCGAAGTACATCAGGAAGAAGGATGGGAGACTCCTGCCAGCGTTGATTACTCTGGAATCCAGAGGATTGCTTGAGCAGCAGATTGGAAAAACGAAGAGAACCTCTTCGCCCTGAACCAGGCGCCAGATGCCTGCTGCTACAAACTAGTTCCTCTCCCCCCCCGCCCCTATTACCCCCCAGTCCTAACTGTCAATCTCAAAATGAAAACTTCGAACATCAAAGGGACAAGCTTTTGTTTGGACTATGCTCAATGAGGCTAGAATTGCTGCGCTCCTTGCCGTCTGTTATATTCTCTGCCCTCGCTCAGACTGCACAGCCAGTTCCATATCATTGCAGGTCCACCATTGCTAGCTGGTGGGCCGGGAAGGGGTCAAGAAATTCTGTGGATGGTCGCAGCGGGAACTCCTGGCCCACCACTGTCCGGTCTTTGAAACTAATAAGGTATCTTTTACGCAGGCATGAGTATTATCTTGTGTCTGGGTTTAGCCTGGGGAAGGTGTCAAACACGTTTAATGATGGGCATAATTCGCTGATTATCCGCTCAATCCTCTTACATACCACGGGGCAGGGGAGGGTGTTCGCCATCTATCGATCCACCGATCTGGGGCTGCGTTGCAATCCCTCGTTATAATGATTGGGACCCCCTCCGGAATTTGCGATTTGATATTCTCAAAGAAAGTTTTCCTTTCATTAACAGCATTGGGGCCATAGATATAAAGTATGCATACAATTTCAAGTTCCAAGACGACCAGAATTGACACCCATCGACCTTCCTCCTGGTCCATCACCCAAGGTGTACCGGATCTGCCCGGGATTCGGGGGGAATCCAAATGGCTACCCCTGCGCTCGCTGGTTTTGGGGCATGGGCCCTGAAAGCCCTATATGGCCAGACTATTTTATGTGTGCGGTTGTGCTGTGGAGTGTCCATCAAGTGTGTTTCCCGGACACAGTATGTCCGGCCAAGTTTCTGCCCCCCACCCCTCCCATTAGGTCCCAGATTGCATTGTGTTTTTCAGGTTTGCTCGAGGTCAGGCCATTCACATTTAGTGACTGCAAGTCTAGGTCTATTGCCCTCTTGCATTGGTTCCAAATGCGGTCTTTCCCGTATACTGCTTTGACCAGGTCCATTTACTTACCTTGCAGTCGTATCCTAGCCCAAGACGGATCACAAATGGGTCCAAGACAGTTGTTCCCATTCCCAATCTGCGGCCCGCACCGTTATCCTGAGAAGTGCACATAAGCTTTTCTGAACGTCGTGCTCGGTCTAGGTGTTGCTGTGTCTAATCCTTACGGTCTGCAGGTTCAGTAGTTGACTGTAGGTGTGTCATCTCAGGCTGTTCTCCTTGGTGGGATCGAAGCGTATGTATACGTCTCTCTGCGCGATCTTGGTGGGGCCTGTTATAACCGCAGCCATAGCCTGTGCCCCAGGCGGTAAGGCCTCTGCAATGTGGGATTCCAGATGCATTTGCAGAGTCTCTGCCGCTGCCTCAGACGCGCAATTTTTTGGGTTCGCCCAGAATGACGACCAGCCTTGCAACGTAACGCCCCCTAGTCTACCATTCTCCGCGGG